GTGTGATGGCTTGTGCACCTCTGTGACCCAACGAGGTACACAGGATGGCTTTATAAAGCCAGGAGATCTAATCATGCCTGAAAGGTCAATGGGTAGAAGTCAGACGAAGTTCAGTCTCCTGGTCTTCCAGGTTGGGAGTTCGCCTGGAATTTGGCGTTTCAGTCGATAAAAAGCGGTGGGGGAGTAATTAATCCAAGTAAATGGGCCTCCACTTCGCCTCACCCTCTGCCTTGCGGTTAGGTTCTTTTCAGAACTAAAGGCTTTGGACGAGAACCCTAATCGTTCTCCTGCTTAGTGGCTGGACACCCTAGCAATACCCGTCCACCAAACCCCAATGCATACACAAAACTAACTTCATACTGCATCGGCCGTCGCGCGGGATAATCGGGACCGCGTTGCCCATTGCATCGCGCGAGGTGAGTAGTGATAAGTGGGCTACTGCTCAGATATCACAACCTTTGTTTAACTCTTTGTCTTCCGTTCCTAACCCTATCCCTACCCCTTCTACCGACCTGTAATAGTTTCTCAAGCAACTTGGATGTCGCTCGCCAAAGGTCATTGCCAAATAGCACTGTAAGTAATTTACCACGGAATGGATTGCAGATTCTAAAGCCTCGTCAATCACTGAATCTGGGGGCCTTCAACATGAGAACCTTGATGCGGCTAGGTCAACAAGCTTGTCTGGCTCTTACAATGGAATCCTCAGAATCGATATTTGATGCATCTCGGAAACCCGGATCCAGGATCCTACTACTCTAAGCCACTTGAGCGCGCCAGATTTGTCGACGAGATTCGTTCTTCGCACATCAGGCAGCGACGAAGCGCGTTCAGTAGGCCAACGCGGGATAGGTATTGTACTCAGTAACGAGGCTGAGTCCTCTCTCATCAATTGGATCCCCGTCAACAATCGTTTATATGCAGTGCGCCTTCAGGGTTCAATCAGCGTCCGGAAGGGAAGCAAAACCAAAAGGTGTTTGTTTGTCGTATCAGCATATGCACCGACCAATTGCAGTTCTGATACCAAAAGGACGCTTTCTACGATGAACTCACCGATCTCATTCGGATGAGTCGAAGCTCCGACATAGTTGTACTTGCAGGTGACTTCAACGCGCAAGTTGGAAAACTGAGCGCATCAGAAGCTTGCCCAGGCGGTAGTTGTGCCCTGCCCTGCCATCGAACAGATAACGGCGATCGATTTCTTCAGTTCTGCGCAGACCATCATCTCTTCCTATCAAGCACCAACTTCCGACACAGTTCTCGACGGACGGCAACGTGGCGCTCCAGTTCAACTGGGACGCTAACTCTAATCGACCACATCGCAGTAAGTTACCGTTGACGTGGCTCAGTGCAAAATTG